TTTTTTTTTTTTTGTTTTGGTAATTCGTAATGATAATGGCTTATTCACGCAAATATGGAGTATTGTTTTAGGGACGTCATTCATAAAAAAATTATGGAAGGATGACATATATTTAATATTTAAAAAAAAAAAAACCACCAAGGTATGAACTGAAGATGAATGCAGCAGCTACAAACGGGTGGATTTTTCAATTTTAAGAGTCACTTGAGCATTCTTTGTGATTTGTCTGGACATGAAGAGGAAACTTTGTAATTAACTACTAGAAGTAGTTAAATAAAAAAAAAAGGATCACCTGATGAACAACAGGTACAACCGAAGTGTATCGGTTATGACAACATGCAAGTAGTAAAGCTTTCCTAACGAGTCATAGCTCAAGAGTCTTGAAAAACGAACTATCCGCTCATCAAACGACTCTCGATCATCCTCATCCTCCACATAATTATTATCATTAGTTAAATCCCGTTCCAAGTCTCTTAGCTCCGCCGTAAAGCTTTTGGGCCACATCTTGATGGCTCATTATCATGTCGATGGCCCATGAGAGAGTTGTTGCACTTGTGTCCCGACCCGCAATCACAAAGTTCAAGACGACATCCCTCAGGCTCTTGTCGGTCATGTTGTTGTCTGGATCTTGGCTTAGCTCTATGAATCTCGATAATATGTCGTGTTTGATCTGATCATATATTTGTTTTGTTAGGACACACTTAGTTGAGATTAAACTGCATTTTCCTTAAAATTGTACACTTATACATAGTAAGTAGTCTTTTGTGAAACTCTGATTAAGACAAAACTAGAATGAAAATTTGATAGGTTGAAATATGTTGGTCACCTTTTCATCTTTGCTATTTCCCAACCCTTGTTCTATTTCTGCCTTCCTCCTCTTGATAGCAGAGTACGTAAAATTGTCGATGGTTTTTATATCCTGATCGAGCGCGGCCTCTGTCCCGATATTCAAGAACTTCTTTATCCTCCACAGAGGGTCGATAAATCTGAGAGTACCGTCATGTTTGCAGAGTCAAATGCCGTAGCAAACTCGTTGTGTGGCAAGTTTGGAGCCAATGTCCCGATTTCCACTCCAAATCCCACTTTGCATATGGAGTCGAGTGTCATCCTCATCAAAAGCTCCTAAAAAGAAAAGATATCGACGTACGACTGTCAATGGATCAAGATTTTCTTTTTCTTTATATATGTATATATATGTTTGTTTGTTTATTAGCTTTTTTACCTGCATATCTACTGTCTGATTATTGTGGGATGCTTGACTGAGGATTTCGAAATGTTTAAGGCTATAGTCTCTGAAAACAACTGTGCTAAAGTCCCTGAAATTCTTGGATGCAAATTCGAAGCTAGCCGTTTTCCTCTGTTTTCTCCAAAGCTCCCCATCGACATTGAAAATGCCGTCTCCAAGCAACACCTCCATATATGAATGGTAAACTTCACCCTTCAAAATCTATGCTCGTTTTGTTTTCTTTAAGACAATACTCGTGCATTTGAGTCGTACGTCAAGGTGTTAAAATAGTCCAAGAATTGCAAAGTTGTGATTGTTTAAATTAGTCCATGAAATCTTGGGGTTTTAATATAAAGAATTCGAGGGCTGCCCAAAATCGCAAATGCAACTTTTATTGACAAATCACGAAGTGATACTCAATGGTATTGATGAAATGATTCAGTAGTATGTGGATGTTCGTGCATTATGAGACGAGCCTACGATGAAATTATTATTATTATTATTATTTAGGTCACCTTTGGATAATTTTTGAAATTCCTTCTTAGCACGTGTTCCACATCAGCAGGGTCAGCAATGTACGTATAAGTCGTGAAGGGCATTGACACGACTACGGTTCTTGATTTCGACAAATATCCGAGAATCCAGTCGTGCATGGCGTCGACGTCCGCGAGCTGCTCAAAGGCCGCTCCCAAAAACGGCCACGTTTTAGGCCATTTGTTGTTCTTCTGCTTCAACCTATGGATGAAAATCCATGAACACAACATGCAGAAAATGGCTAGTATTAGTTGCATTTTTATCTTTTAGATGAATGAAAGGGATGTGGTTAGTTATATGATTGGAGGAAAAAGATTATTATGCCTTATTGTTTTGGTTTTTTCTTCTTCCAATTTTGTTAATTATGTGCTTGTATATATATAGTGATGCTTTGTGAGTGGTCTCGTAAAATTAGGTAGGACATAGGTATGTGCGAAAGAAACTTATGAGAATCTTGGCATGGTACTTGAAAATACATTTTCACGCTCACGCCTTTGGAGCTTTGAACCTAATATTTATTTTATTTTATTTTATTTATTTTATTATTATTATTATTATTATTATTATTTTTTTTTTTTAATAATGAGCTATGCAACATGAACAGAAGGGTGACATGCACATTGGCATAATACTATTAAAGTTTTATGTTTTTTTTTTTTCTTCCAAATCCTTACATGTGCAGATAAAATACTATTATTTTAAAATATATATTTTAAATACTTATAATAAAAAAATTAAATATCTTTAATAAAATTACCTTATAAGAAATTAAATCATATAGTTTACATTTATGTAAAAGCTTAATGAAATTTATTTTGAAAGTTAGAATATATTGAAAACCAAATTTAAAGAATATAAAATTTAAATATTATTATACTAAAAAGTATTAATCTTAGTAAAATTAGCTTAATAAGAAAATTAGTTCGTATAAGTTACATACAAAAGTTCAGCTAATTAAAATTAAAGTTGAAGAAATAATGGTTGTTATCTAAATATTTATTAAATTTAGTAAATAAAGTATTTATAAAATTATTATTATTATTTTTTTTGGTAAGCTTCACTTTTGATTTTTTTTTTCTTTATCTAAATTTCACAGTTCCAAGCATCATCAAGTCTAGAAAAAAATATAAATAATTCTACTATATTTTTTTTTCTTATCTTTTACATATTTATATTATAAATAAAAATGAACCAAAATACTAGTTCGATAATATATTTAAAAATAATATTGGTATAAATAATAATTTTATGAATAAATATATAGTTTCAAAATAATACTTTTATATACTAATAATATTTTCACTAATATTAATTAGAAAAATACAATATTTTTTAAATAGCTTATGTTCTAATTTCATTACATATTTATATTATCAATTCATATATATTTAAATTATACATTCTTAAATTTAATTTCAATAATTTTGTTAATTAAAGTAAAGTTTAGTAAACTTTTACATAAAGTGGCTTAAACGGGTTAATTTTTATAATAAGGTAATTTTACTAATAATATGTATAATTATTTATCAACTAGTAAGGTGCACGTTCTTCGCACGTCAACCATGTAATTTTTCTTATTGAATTTAAAATGTCATTAATTTTTTTTCTCGGAACGATAGGGGTTTTATAAAACGCGCAGAGTGAAAAAAAAAACTAGTCAAATGCTGAATGATACAAGTACAACCAACGACTGAAAATATTGGGAGGCAGATACGAAGATCGCCTGGGACCGGACCTAGCAACGCTAGAAAACACAAACACAACACAACAAAACAAAAACTACTATTAACTCCCAAACGGGAGACTAATCGATCCCAAAAGGATAGAGCCCAAATGAGAATCGATCCCAAAAGGATAATACCGCTCTTACTCGGGCGAAAATAGGGTCCTAAGGCCCAAACCAAAAACAGAAGACCTACAAAACAAACGAAACCAGAAAAACATAACAAAACACTACACGAAACAAAACTAAACAAAATGATCCCTTCCCAAGCAGCTAGACTAAGCAGAGTCAGTGAATATCAAGTCGACCCAAAGTGAATACCATAGCCAAAGAGGACCAACCCTGAAACTGCCCAAAACCAACTTGGTTGCCTAACGAAGTTGAAATCCAAGCCCCGAAACAACACTCGAAGCCTACCCGCACCACAACCACATCACCCATTATGCCCATAAACTGTCACTGGACCGAACCCTCTAACACCACTAGCAAGTTCGGTAGCACCCGGATTATGTTTTGTCTGTTTTTGTTGTTATTTTGTGTGTTCTTATGTGTTTTATTTGTGTTCATTTTATTTTATTTTAGGTTTTTCCCGGTCCATATAGTCGTATTTGCTCGTTTTTGTGTTCTCGTTTCGTTTTGGTGTCTTGTGCTTTTTATTTCTCTTTTTACCTTTTATTTTGTAGGAAAAGCGCGTTCCAGAAAGTTGTCAATAAATTTATTAGAAAATGCCGAAAAGTCACCCGAGACGAGGAGAAAAAGATTTGAGGAACTTGGGTCAAAATTTCAAGTCAATCGGATAACCATGCGAGAAGTTAGAGCGAATCGAGCATCATGAAGTCACCGGGACCATTTCCAGCCCGCGAAAACGATTTTCACGCCCGCGACAAGACACTATCCCGCGAGTTCGGCGTGTGCATGGCCAGAGAACAAAATTTGAGCCTGCGAAAACGTTGCCCTATCCCGCGAACACAAGCTATCCCTCGAGTTCACCCTTGCCAACGAAAATAACTAGCGAAAATGAAGATCTATCCAGCGAGTTCGGTCTAGCTAGCGAGTTTTCCTCATTTAATATGTGTGTTTTAGTGTGTGTTTGTGGTGTATCTATAAATTGACATTGTGCTTTGTATTTTGGGAACAATTCCTCATTTGCTAAATTTTTCTTTTTAGGTTTGCTCTCTTCTCTCTCTAGTTTTATTTCACTCTCTAAGGGCTTCAAGACCCTATTTTTTATTATAATATTTCTCCATCAAGATTACAACTTTTTGATTTATTTCTTCTTGTGGATGCACTAGAGACTTGGAGACTTCGTTTAAGATCTATGATTTCGTAAGTCTTGCTTGTCTTTACTTATTGGATTTATTCTAGGGTTAGATAGGTCGTCCCTGAGTCGATTATGCTATCATCCACGTAGGCTAGGGATTATGTGATATTGTTATTGATTGCGTGAGCGAGAATTGATTGAGTGGTTAATTGATCACGAGTGACCATCGCTTGGTTGCATGTTCCCGAACCTATGAGTGCCTTCTTTTCATCTCGGGTCTAGGTGTACTTTGTTATTTGTCTCTTTATTTTCTTTTTTTTTTTTTTGCAAATTGAGGTCTTGCTTGCTTTCTTTCTAGCTTAAATTGTGTATCTTTAGCTTAATCCAAACCCCAAATTGCGAGTAGGGTGTTTAGGATTTTTATTTTTTTTGCTTGTGTGAGTCAATCGTTGCTTGAATCCGTATCCGAACCACCTTCCTTTGAGAACGACCCGAGTTCGGGTAACTCGGTTACCAATTGCCCAAAAATACTACAAACAAAATGGCGCCGTTGCCAGGGAAGACGAGTAGGATTTGGATTTAGACAATTGATTGACATCTTTTCCGTATTTCTCTTGATTTTTGTGATCTTTTCTTAATTTTGTGTGTTTCATTTGCTTGTTTATTTGTTTTCTACTTCTCTTGCTATTTGGTGTTTGTGTTTTTGTAAATATTGTGATGTGTTTTTCTTGCATTTGCATTATTTTTGTCTTGGTCTCACGTGCCTTGGTTTGTTTGTTGTTCTTGTGTGAGGTACTTTACTTGAGGAGCTCCTATGGACCCATATGATTATTCCTATGTCGGAAGCACGTCTCGTGGACACCCCAAAAATTATTAAGAGGAGGTGTACACAACATATGGGAAGCCGTCTTGTTCATATCCGAGTTACTCATATTCTTACTCTTATGACAGATTTTCTACTTCCCATGGGTATGGCCCGAGCCATTCTTACCCGACATCTCGAGCCGATTATGGTTATGACATTCCGAGTCACAACGAACCGTCTTATTCCAAATTTCCACCTCCAGACTACTACTACCCTCTGCCTCCCGATTATGAAGTGACATCTCCTCCCGAGCCACCTCGAGAAGCTTCTCGAGTCGATCTAGAAGAGATTATGGAAAACTTGGAGAGGCGCACTCAATCTCTTCGGGCTTCAATGGCTCCCATATCCGAAAAAGAAGAAACTGAATCCTACGCTCTATCATCTCTATCATTTGAGCACCTATAGGTTGGCCAACCTTGTACCTCAAGTGCCGAAGCTTCAATTCCAACAACGTTTACCGAACGTCACCGAAAAGTATTGGCGAGCACTCAAGAGGCACTTGTGATGTACTTTTGAACAAGACTCGAGCGCAAATGCCTTTATCCTAGACTCACTTGACCCTCAATTACAGCCTCATGTCGATCATTGAGGAGTTTCATAGTTGGAGGAACATTCTAATTCCATTCGTTCTTCAAGCGACACTTACAAAGTTCGATTCTACCGTGGTAGCTTTTTTTGACTTAGATTCATCTCATATTCCGCTTGGAAGATATTGTTCTCTATCGGCGAGGATTATGCAGGAGAGTACTTGGTTGGAGAGCGAGTTTCGAGCTATGGTGGATCAGTTAGCATCCTTGAGAGAGATGGGCCTCATTCTCGTTTATGATAGTACAAAGGCTTTTGACACGAGTGAGGACATCGACGAGTTGGTTGCTAGAGAAATCTCTTCTCTTGACTATTCGGACGTGCCACCCACACTAGGTACGTCAACTCTTTCTTCCGGTGATTGTGCCTTGAGTTCGAATGCTTTTGTTGAGAGTGAGAATATGGAATCGGGTGTCCATAAGGTGTATGGTATGGAAAAGAATTATTTTGAGGAGTTGATTGTGCCTATTCATGAGTTGAATGGTTTTGAAAGTGCTCGGAAGGATGATTTTGAGGAGGAGGATGTGGTAGTTGATGATGTTGGGATGTAGTTGAGGAGGATTCCGAGCTATTATGTGATGTCGTTGACTCGAGGTGTGCGTTGATTGATGAGTCGACTTGTGATGTTGAGTATGGCGTGGTTCCATGTCCTTCGGGTCGTCGTTTCGTATTATTGAGGATCGTGACCATTTGGAGGAGTTTAGCGTGCCTACGTCCGTGCTCTCGATGCTTGAGCTTGATGAGTACACGTTCGAGATAATGCAAATGATGCCCGGGATTGATTCGACGTGCTCCATAGATATTTTCATATTTTCGGAGGTCGAGTATGGGGCCTCGGTTTGTAAAGATCCATATTTTCTCTTGGTGGTTGTTGATATCCGTGCTCGGTTTCACAAGAACTCGGCCAGGAGAGTGTATTTGGCCCGCCTTTATTTCGTGTTACCGGATCAACTACTTTTGGAGAATACAAAGGCGTGGCATGATGGATACTTTTTCTTGGACCCCGGTTGATTTTCGTTGGGGACGTTGAGCTCAAGATATTAAAATGAGCGCTTCGTGGAGGAAACCCACAGTTATTGTTTTTTCTCATTTTTCGCTTTTTATCGGAAATAAATAGCTTCGCTGGCCACACGAACACGGTATTTTTGGAGAAGAAAACGAGGCTCGGAGCCGAGATTCTATTGAAAAATGGGTTGAAAGATGTCAGAGTGGTGAAAATTTGAGCTAAGTATGGAAATAATTGATGAAAAGGAGCTCGTGCCAACCTGCTCGGCAGTACCGACTTGTTAGAGTTGAGCAAAAAAAAAAAAAAATTGGGTGAAAAAAAAAACGGGCCGAGAATCAGGCAAAAATTGTGCACGATAGTTGATTTAGCAATTGGGGTTGAAAAGAAGTGAAATTAGCCTAAGTGTTGAAATTCCAAAAATTCGCGGGCTTGAAATTTGAAATCGCAAGCTAGGCCATTTTCGCTAGTTACAACTCTTGGGCTGCAGCTAAAATTCGAGGGCTCGAAATCATTTTCGCAAGCTAGGCCATTTTCACTAGTTGCAACTCTTGGGCAGCAGCTAAAATTCGAGGGCTCGAAATCATTTTCGCTAGCTAGGCCAAATGGGCGGGGGAGAATACCTTGACAGACACGAAAATTCGAGGGCTCAAAATGGTGTTTGCAAGATAGCTCAAATTCGCTGGATACATAAGAAAGAAGTCAACAATTGTCAAAGCCCTAATCCCACTCTCTCCCTTTTCTTCAACCCGCAGCTGAGCCACCATCTTCTCACCTTCACCTCTCTCCCTCTGCTCCGGCAAGGTGGACCTCCGGCGACTGTCGCCTGAACACGCTGAATGCTCGGCGACCCGATTTACGACTTCCGGTGGTTGTGTTCTCCCGCGGGGGCGACCGATTCATCACTGAGCTTCCTTCATCTCCGCGCCAGACTTCTGACGGCAACTCTGCAAATTCCAATGACCGCTTCCTCCACGGCGACACGACCAGAAAGTCACGCTCCCAACTCTGACCTTGCCGCGTGCGCGACCCCAACGACCTCAAGCACACTTCTCCCAACCGCAGCCGCGAGCTCACAGGCCCGTTCACGGCGATTTTGAGTGCCGCCCGACAATCTCAAGCTTCCCGGCCTCCGTGCACGACCACCTCACGCTGATTCCAACATCGCGAAGCTCGACCCTATCATAAATAGAAGCAGATGGATAGGTGATCTATCATAAAGTTACTCCTTCTGTATTGATGAAACACATAATAGCTGGTTATGGTTTTTGTACCATGGACACGTATTGAGTTGTTTTACGCTTTTCTTGAGTACTATGACAGCTGAAGTTTGTTTCAGTTCGATAAGTCAGGATTTTGCTCAACCCTTTCGGTCTGTATAGTATTCGTCGGCTGAAGATTAATTCCATTCATCCGTTTGCCATATTAGCTATGAGATTTATTTGCACCCTGTATGATTTCTTAATTTGGATTTTTATGCATACTGGAAAACGTCAGTGATAATCGCAGTTCAATGGTCGAAATTATAATTCTGTGCTTTGATTTTGAACTGTATTGTTAGACAATATACAATAACAAGAAAACCAACATGCATTTAGGCTCATTTTTTTTTGAATTATACAAGAAAATTCTTAATATATAACTTGTAAGCCAACGTGTTCCCAAAATGGTGATTATTCAGAATTGTCTCGAAAGTCATTTTCCATGGAAAGCTTACGGGCGTCTTGACACGCCGAGTTTGAGTCCGTTCTCCATGGAAAGTATGGTCATCATCCTGTACTTGACTTGATGGCCAGGCACCAGCTTGAACTCATAAAATCTGCACAAAATTGCAAGTGCCATTTTCATCTGCAGGTATGCAGAGTCCTTCCCGAGGCACATCCGTGGTCCCGCCTATGCAAATACCCAAAAGCGTTTTACTCGCGCAGCTATAGCCGTCATACAAAGAAACAGAATCACACACACACACATACACACACACACATTTATATATATATATATACATATCCTATATGTTTGTATATAGATTTGAAAGAACCTGGAAAGCAGTGAATTTAAATGGGGATGCGCTTTGGAAAACTCCATCTTTCAGCCATCTCTCGGGCCTGAATGAAGCTGCATCGGGCCCCCAATTGTAAGCCATTCTTCCCATGGAGTACGGTACGTAAGTCACCATGCCCCCTGATTTCACCTTTGTTCCATCTGGTAAAACGTCGTCTTCTAAGATGCCCTTCGGATCCTGGTTACAAAACAACCTCACTATCTTCTAAAGATTTTGATACAAACCCTTTAAGGAGCTTTTTTTTTTTTTTTTTTTTTTTTTTTTTTTTTTTTTTTTTTTTTTGTAATGATTATGGCTTATTCATGAAAATTATGGAAAAAAACTGCTCTATTTTCGTTAGGTACTTTATATTTGTGAATGCTGAAGAATATGAAATGTAAGGGAAAATTTGGAGTATTGTTTTACGGACGTCGTTCATAAAAAAATTCTGCAAGGATGGCATACATTTAATATTAAAAAAAAATCCACAAAGGTACGAACTGAAGATGAATGCAGCTACAAACTGGTGGATTTTTCAAATTTTAGAGTCAGTTGAGCATTCTTTGTGATTTGTCCGGACATGACGAGGTAACTTTTGTAATAAACTACTAGAATTTGTGTAATATAAAAAAAGGGATCACCTGAGGAACAGCAGGGTACAACCGAAGTGTTTCGGTTATGACAGCATGCAAGTAGTAAAGCTTCCCCAACGAGTCATAGCTCAAGAGTCCTGAAAAATGAACTATTCTCTGATCAAACGACTCTCGATCATCCTCATTCTCCTCATAATTATTATCATTAGTTAAATCCCGTTCCAAGTCTCTTAGCTCCGTGTAGAGCTTTTGGGCCACATCTTGATGGCTCATTATCATGTAGATGGCCCATGAGAGAGTTGTTGCAGTTGTGTCCCGGCCCGCAATCACAAAGTTCAAGACAACATCCCTCAGGCTCTTGTCGGTCATGTTGTTGGCTGGATCTTGGCTTAGCTCTATGAACCTTGATAATATGTCGTGTTTGATCTGATCATATATTTGTTTTGTTAGGACACACTAAGTTGAGATTAAACTGCATTTTCCTAAAACTTGTACACTTATACATAGTAAGTAGTCTTTTGTGAAACTCTGCTTAGGACAAAACTATAATGTACATTTGATAGATTGAAATATGTTAGTCACCTTTTCAACTTTGTTATTTCCCAACCCTTGTTCTATTTCTGCCTTCCTCCTCTTGATAACTGAGTACGTAAAATTGTCGATGGTTTTTATATCCTGATCGAGCACGGCCTCTGTCCCGATATTCAAGAACTTCTTTATCCTCCACAGAGGGTCAATAAATCTGAGAGTCACCGTCACATTTGCAGAGTCAAATGCCTTAGCAAACTCGTTGTGCGGCAAGTTTGGAGCCAATGTCCCGATTTCCACTCCAAATCCCACTTTGCATATGGAGTCGAGTGTCATCCTCATCAAAAGCTCCTAAGAAGAAACATATCAACGTCTAAGTAAATAAACAATTGTCAATGGATCAATATATATTTTTTTTATTTAGCTTTATTACCTGCATATCTACTGTCTGATTATTGTGGGATGCTTGACTGAGGATTTCAGAAAGTTTAAGGCTATACTCTCTGAAAACAACTGTGCTAAAATCCCTCAAATTCTTGGATGCAAACTCGAAGCTAGCTGTTTTCCTCTGTTTTCTCCAAAGCTCCCCATCGACATTGAAAATGCCGTTTCCAAGCAACACCTCCATATATGAATGGTAAACTTCACCCTTCCAAACAATCAAGATTGTGAATTTCATCAACGGTTAGTCACGATATTAGTGCAAAATCTACGCTCGCTTTATTTTTCTTTGGGACAATACTCGTGCATTTCAGTCCTATGACAAGATGTTAAATTAGTACAAGAAATTGCAAAGTTGTGTTTGTTTAAATTAATTCAACAGATCTTGGGATTTTAATACAAAGAATTTCGAGGGTTGCTAAAAATGCAAATACAACTTTTTTCTTTTTTACATATCACGACACGATAATTCTCGATGGAATTGATCAAATATGTTGTTCTTGCATTGTGTATTCCATCAAATATGTTGTTCTTGCATTGTGATATGAAATGAAATATCATATATATGCACTACTACGAAAAAAATCTTTTGTTATTTTGTCACCTTTGGATAATTGCAAAAATTTGTTCTTAGGACGTGCTCTACGTCAGCAGGGTCAGCGATGTACGTGTAAGTCGTGAAGGGCATCGGCACGACTACGGTTCTTGATTTCGACAAATATCTGAGTATCCAGTCGTGCATGGTGTTGTAGTTCGCGAGCTGCTCCAATGCCGCTCCCAAAAACGGCCACGTTTTTGGCCCTTTTCCATTCTCATGCTTCAACCTATGGATGAAAATCCATGAAAACAGTATGCAAAGAATGGTTAGTATTATTACTTGCATTTTTATCTTTCAGACAAATGAATGAAATGGATGGTGATTGGGGAAAAAGATAATTATATATCTATTGGTTTGATTTTACTTCTTCCAATTTTATTAATTATGTGCATGCATATATATAGTGTTGCGGGTGGGAGGGGGGGAGGGGGGTTATGAGTTGTTTTGAAGTTGGTGAGATGTTAGATGTTGTAGCAAACAATCTTGGCATGGACATAAGTGTGAGTGGTTTCATACTCTTGGAGCTTTCAACCTAATAATTCAAGTTAGGTTTTATTTTATTTTTAATATAAAAAGTAAAGACTCGTGATATAAAATCCAGCCACACATATATATATATACATATATATATATATATATATATATATATATATA